TATTTGGATGTTTAAGAATGGAAGTCAGTTCTCGGCTGGTTTTTCTCGTGTAAATTTTATACACTCTGACTGTCGGTTTACCAATTCGAAGCACTCATCCATCTGTTCTTGTGTGGAACAGACGATGAAGCAGTCCTCTATATCGGCGGTACGGTAAGGGTCGGTGATCGAGAACTGGAGCTTGCACCTTAGACATGAAAGCGATGGCAAGGCTTGGTGCTAAACGCTGCCCCATCGCCAACCCTCTAATTTGTGCAGAATATTTTCCGGACTGCCTGTCTTCCGATAAATGCTGGACTACGTAGGTCTTTGCCCTAGTGCAGTGGAGTCCAACACTTTTCTGGTTATGCGAATGAGTCCCTAGGCTTGCAACCGAAGAGCTCGTACCGGCGCACAGAGGCTGGATAAAACGTTTGTAATGAGGATCTACGGATTTCCTATTGGAGCTACCCCAAGATTTAACACAGAGCTAGCTCAATCAGAATTCCTTGACTGTCATGAGAAAGATTAAGTCTAGCACTGAAATCTACATGGAAATGAGAAAAGTCTCACGTATGACAATCGGACGGACGAAAAGAATGTTGTGGTGGGATCTGAGCAATACGTGTGGCAGAGTCTTGTAGACAGGGCAGTGTTCTGGACCTTTGGGCTTCTGTTACCTTTAGAAAAAATTCTAAAGTTAGAAAAGCTGGCGATATATTGTATATAATTTGTTTCGTTAATTACTTTCTCAAAGTATTTGTTAGATCTCAATGCAGGTCGTTTCTTCTGCTGAGCTTTAAAGGTAACTTGTTCATTTCTGCATTTCCATTTAAACATGTATAACCTGAATAATTACGAAATTTTGTACCGTATAAAGAAAATGTGGTATTAAACGAGAAGTCGTTTTGTATGAACATCGCCTTCTTTGGGGTACACGTTGATTTCTCTACGTGCTGACGAAGTAGGTGAACGCTTAAATGACACAGGGTCTGACTTCCCTAACCACCGAAAATGCGCATTGTTGTGAAACGATTAGTAGACCAAATTTGTTTTAGCTTAATAATTTAAGAGAATATTGATAGCTTATGACGAGGCTAAATGGAAGTAGGCTTTTAAAAGTAATGCCACGCTCTGTGCCCGCTGTTATATAACACCCACCTCAGCAGGTTGCACTGGCACGATAAAAAGCACATCGGCAGATCATATTGAATGGCAGCGAGTCGGAAATTGCCTTGCCATAAAAAGGCACCAACGATTGTTATCCGAAAAATGCACGTTTATAACAGGCTCGTCTTAGAGCTGGCCTGATAAACTCTGCTTTGTGCACTATACTCGGCAAACCTTTAGTCTATAACGACCAATTTTTCAAGAGTCTAAGCAATTCTTGACAGGAGAAATGCTGCAGAAGCGGAATAAGTCCAAAAATATATTTAACGACTTCATCGCTCTCACAATTTCGGAGCTTTAGGTAACGAGAAGAAATAAATTTTTTCTGCCTTGGCAGAAATGCGTAGAAACTTTTGGTATTTATTTCGACTACTCCATTTTGTAAATTCATTGAACTAATTTCGTTCTCCAAATTAAGCCAGTCGATGCAAAAGAATTTACTAAATATTGTTTGCACTACCGAAACAACTTCTGGAGTTCATAAGATAAAATTTTTGCTAACTGACCTAAGAGAGCCATGTGTTGCAAATGGATTGTGTCTCCCACCTGCTAATGGCCAGAAATTTCCAACCGTGTAAGATTTTGTGCGAAAATGTTAATAAATTTTTCTTTATTTCCAAAGAAATCAGTGCATTTACGAAAAATTGCTCAAAACGGGCTGGTGTAGAGAATTCAGTAGCAGTCATTGAAATATCACTGAGCACTCTCAGACGCCTTCTTGTTCGTCGCCGCTTGTATGACCGTCTAACCACAATGCAAAGTTGTAAAATTTGTCCAAATTGTAGAACCTGTGACTGCGCGAGTTCTGGTACGAATGCCTGATAATGCCTGACTCCTGATATCTTACAAAGCGTAGGGCATTAATACATTGGTCAAACGGGTAGTACCACTGTGTGTTCCTATAAAGCAGCACTTGATTGAAAAACTTGGAGAAAAAGCAAATACACCACTTAGCATGTATAGAACAGAGAGACATAACGGAGAAGATTTTGAATTTGAAGTTAACACTGTCACAGTTCAAAGCGTAAAAGTCTCGAGGGAATCCGATTAATTTCTAGAAAAGTAAAGTAAAATGCCTTAATATCGCGTTGATCTCACGCAATACGTCAGACCGATTTTTTAATGGGGCAGAGAAGCACGTTACCATTCCATGGATGCTCTGTGTGGTTGATGTCCACGTGAGAAACTTGGTGGAAGACTGATAAAAAGCGGTGAGAGTGCAAAGAAGCGACTTTGCATGCAGTGCAATTGAAACATAGGCTTCGTAGTTTTTCTATTCGTGTCACGGAGATGTTTGGCCGTTTAGATTGCAGCCAACTTGATCGCTGTAGGCTCTGAAGAAGGCGAAATTCTGAGAAACGTCAGTTTTTGCGAATGAGGAAAGATAACCACTACCTCACGTGTGGCTCTCAAGAAAACAACGAGTAATTCACACTTGTGTTTAAATTTTGGTAATTTTGGTAAAGATTTGATATGTAATTCTTCGTATTTTTGTTGAGCAAACGCGAGGTGTTATTATTCTTTATTCACAAATGAGCTGACGTTTCGGCGGATTTCGCCTTCCTCAGAGCCGCTTTCTATGAGGTCTCCACTAAGTATGTCACGTAGAGACCAACCGCACAGAAATCACATGGAAGTATAATGTCATTATACTTCCATGTGATTTCTGTGCGGTTGGTCTCTACGTGACATACTTAGTGGAGACCTCATAGAAAGCGGCTCTGAGGAAGGCGAAATCCGCCGAAACGTCAGCTCATTTGTGAATAAAGAATAATAACACCTCGCGTTTGCTCAACAAAAATACGAAGAATTACTTGATCAATGCCGAGGTTAATAGAAAGTCGGTCGTGGGAGATTTGATATGGTTTGATTTCATGACATAATTGCAATCGTATAGAGTCCAAAAAAGAAAGAATAAATCAAAAAGTTGAGTGCTAGGAGTACCAATTTCCTGCGAAACCATTACAATTACAGTCGGTCACCCCTTACAGAATTTACTTTTCTTTCTAAACTCCATAAATGAGGCAAATTAGTTGAAAGGACAAAGGATAAAGCTCTCAGCGTTGATCAATCCCTGAGAGATGCGCCTTGCTTTCGACTTCATTAAGTATCGTTGGAGGTGATTGAACGCATATCTGGCTTTCACAATGACTCGTGGTGGCCTAGCGTTGGATCGAGCCAGCGTTGCTATCCTCCCAAACATGTTTGGTACCGATTTGCCGACCCGGTGGGATGGAAGGTTTGGTGGGCCATGGGCGCGGACACGTGTGTGTTCCAGTGCGCCTCCCACCACTGCGCACGCACGCTCCAGAGCAAAATAGTAAAACTAATAATTCTATTTATTTTACATAGCCTTACAAACTACTTTATTAAGAAAGGCTACGTAGACTTGGGATGATTGGACGGAAATTCGTTGAATCACTGTATTGTCATTTGCTCCGGATTCTTAAGAAATGGTTGTGATGCTCTCTCTATGAAATGTTTAGTGATGAGATTTTTAGACCAGCGAAAGTTGGGCATTTTTGCTGCCGTGTTTTCATCATGATATGAGTTTAAATTCTTGGATTAAATGTGGAATCACTATCGTTGTCATCTGGAGACTCTAGTGTTCGTAACAGGGGAGCTCTGTTTATGTCTATTTGTAATCGGTTTTTGAAGATTGAAGGAGAGCGCAGCGCAGTGGTTAGAGGTGAACTATCAGCCAGTAGCGCTTGTTGGCGCTGTTTCGCGCCCACAATTCACTAAGCTCTCCCTGATTCACAAGTCGGTGCGAAACTTGTCTGCGAGGATAGCAACATTGAGATGATCCGTCAGTAGCCATCATGAGTTAAGCCAGCTATGCACTCACACACCTCTGGCGATACTTAGTGAAATAGAATGAATGACACGTTTTCCAAGGATTGATCAACCCTGGACAATTCATCCCTTGTCTTTCTATAATCGAATTGAGTGAAATAATTATCGGAACAATTTCGATTATAGTGAAAGTGGGGGTGAGAGATAAAGGTAGTTATTGTGACACGAAGGACTCGCTTCTGATGAGGAAAACCTTGCAGTGCTAGCGTTGAACTGATAACAGAACTACTTATGACAGATGGCGCTCTAATCAATAGTACTGGATTAAAGTACATGCAACAGTGCGGAAATCGGACATTTTCTGGTTTTTCTTTGTAAATTTATAAGAGAAGTGATACAGCGTCTCTACTTATAATTAGAATGGTCTCCTAAATTGGCGAAAATGCCATGAAGCGTTTTTTTTTTCGCCAAAATAATGCGTGTTAGTGAACGAACCATCAAATTTAAATGTGACCACCACTCATTGCTCTTCTCTGCAATCCTCATCGTTATCTTGTTCTCAGAACTTTCGAGACCTTGTTGCTTACAACAACTTTTACAAAAATCGCACAATGGATATGAAGAACATCAAACTGTTATTGTAATGTCCTTTTCCACTGCTTTTGTTGAGAAAATAACCACATGAAGCAGGCTGGATTTTGTGCCCTGGCATGCGTCTGCTTCTAGCTTAGCTTCCGGATAAAGTGTCGAACTGCTTTCTTTAAGAAACCTTTACAAGACGTACCCTCGTTCCTCAACGGTCTTCATCACCGAAGAACATCTAATTCTGGTTATGATGAAAGGTAAAGTTGCAGACAATGAGAGAAACAGATCACTGAGTGATTTTCTTCGTATTTTTGTTGAGCAAACGCGAGGTGTTACTATTCTTTGTTCACGATTAAGCTTAATCGTGAACAAAGAATAGTAACACCTCGCGTTTGCTCAACAAAAATACGAAGAAAATCACTTGATCAATACCGAGGTTAATAGAAAGTCGGTCGTGGCAGATCACTGAGTTCTAGAATTCGCGTTTTGAAGAGTTCTCAAAGATACGTAATGACACTTTGTGGACACTTTACGTACTGATTGCTTTTCGTTGATTATCAATCCATCATACCGCTGAGTGTTGACAGTGGTAGAGGCCGTTTCGGTTGAAATATAGCTGTAGGAACAACGATCGCAAGAATATGCCTTCTGTGCAGTACGATCAACAATATCCTTTTGAGCCAACGTTTCTTCTAGAGTAATCCTCAGCGAGAAGTTCTTTCAAAAAATTTTCAGAAAATTCGACGCAAGATCAGAAACGGGTAACGAAAATGAATACAAGATAGTGTAAATCGGAATAGGAGAATGAAATTTGGACGAAAATTGTGAAAATGGCCTTCGAGAACTCCTGTCCGATGCTTGTTATTCCATGGAAATACATTTTTGCGAGAACAGTGAATATTGCTGATAGACATATGAGTCTCCTAACAGCACGCTTCATTCGGAGATCGATTATACTCTCACGAACAGAAGAAGGCGCTTCCTTCACACCTCAGTGGAAGCCGGGTTCTGTAGATAATCCGGTCATCGCCTTCACCTTGCGGAGACTCGGTTCAACCATAAGCAAGAAAAGAGCTCCTTTTATCGCCCAGGAAAAACGGAAGGAGCTGTGTATTGCGAGGCTATTCTCAAAAAAATCTTTCCCTCATATAATTGACAAAAAAATAAAGACACGACCGAGGAATGCATGCTGCTATTCCAAGAACGTGAAACTTGTGCCGAACTCGCCCTAAGTTTGCCAAACAAAAAGTTTAGACCACACAGATTTCATGGTGTCGTTAAAGCACCACTTTACGTTTTTTGCTGCATAGCTGAGCGCTGCAACAACTGTTGAATCAAAAACGTGAGCGACGACTTTTGAGTCCAGTTTGTGGGTTTTTTGAGTGGTTCGCATGTGGCCCAAGGTGCTCTCCTTCTTCTGTCTAATTCCTCCTTCATGTTGTTTTCATATTTATTGATAGTACAAGGTATAAATACGAGAAGTTCTCTGCAATCAGAGAGCAAAACGGTTAAATTTTTTCGACTTCGCACCATGGACTGTACTTGAACTGGGTTTTCTACCGATTTAAATGTAATATAATCTTCTTTTCCTGTTTTGTTAAGCTCATTGGCCATACCCACTGAATCGCTTGTACTTCGTCAGAAGATGACGGTGTCCTCTTTGAAACGAAGACTAGATAAGAATATCCCATCAATACCTGTGCCTTTATGATCCCGATCGAGCGACTTCATCATCAACCGCATTGCCGCATTGAACAGCTTCGGCGATATTGTGTCTCCTAATCGATTCTTTTCTCCTGCGAGTAAAGTCAAAAGTCGATGAGAAGCTGTATTTTCGTGCTGTACTTCCGATGAGAGTCGGCCAGAGTTTCTGCATAGGACTGATCCGCGCCTTGCTCGATCAACGGTGATAGGATTGCCTTTGTTTCCACACTGTTAAGGGCTTTTTCGTAGTCGAAAAAATTTAGCACTACGGGCAAGTGGTATTTCCAACGAATGTTGCGCATCATCCAGTACCACACATGCACGACAGGATAATTTACTGAAGAGCTTGCAGGGTGCATTCAACACACATATCGGACGGTAGTTACGAAGATCCTTTCACTCACCTTTCACGAGTAGTGTGGCCGCGCGCCATGCCCTCCTCTGCAGCGAGATTTCTTTGTCTTGAAGGTAAGCTGTTATTCGGTTTGCGAGAAGTACGTTCAAATTGTGGCTTCCAGCTTAAGGAAGTCAGTGGTGGTATCACCACGTTCTGGAGCTGTGCCTTTTTTCATTCATTCTATGGAAGCTCGAACATCCGAAGAAAAAATTCGGGTGGTTTTTCTTCAGCGGGACCTTAGGGTCAAGGAGTGCGATTGCGGAACAGAAAAGGTTCGTGTAGAACGTTTCCGCCGTTGCTTCCATATCATGGCAGGGATCCCATCTTTGTTCATCAGGACTGTACCTACTTTTTACCACAGTAAGAGCGAGCTTCCCTGCATGACCGAATAGAGTTAGCATATGGTTAAAAACAGACCGAACATTTACTTACTCTATGACGATAGTGGCATTGGAATATGAATGCCTCGTTTTCTTGTTCAGCAATCGCGAGGTTGTTAAACAGCACACATTTACTTCCATAGAGAAACTCAATACAATAAAACAGTAGCTGACGTTTCGGAAGTATCGCCTTCTTCAGAGTCTGGAAGGATATACTGATGTACAATCTACTAGGCCAAACGCTTCAATGACACTTACAAAAAGACGAAAAACTCTTTGGCAAATACATGATCAACAACATCTCGAAAATCTCACCGCTTTTTCACGTAACTTTCAGTGACGAAGTTTAGAACAGCTGATTATAGTCGCATATGGTTGATGACTGCACCATCCCACACAGTAATGCCCGGAGGTCATACGCGTCCTGACCCCGTATGTCCGCATCGATTTCTGATGTCTGATGGTCCACTCATCAACCATATGCGACTATAATCAGCTGTTCTAAACTTCCTCATTGGAAGTCACGTAAAAAGCGGTGAGTTTTTCGAGAAACTGTTGATCATGTAATTGTCATAGAGTTTTTCGTCTTCCAGGTTGTGAAGAAGGCGATACTGCCGAAACGTCAGCTGCTGTTGTATTGTATTGAGTTCCTCTATGGAATTCCCATGGAATTCTATGGAACGACGAATTCATATTCCAATACCGAGCTTAATTATGATGTTTTCGACTGATAGACTAGGCATCGGATTTCGTAGAGAGATTTTCCAAATGAAAAACGAATGGCGTTGGTCCTCATTACGACTACAAGCAGCTTCCTGTACACTTCGCTGCAATCCTCTACGTAATTCTCAAAATGGAATATTTCAAGCGCCCCGATACGTCCCATTCCTCCAGTTTCATCCTGGGGTTCTACGGGTAGATCTGTTCTCGCCCATCGTAGCTTGCTGCTTCTTCGTGCACAATGTGATTTTGTTTCGCCAACCCTTTCGGGGTCACTCCAAGGTCCCGGGTGGTGACGGATGTTGAACCCAATCACCACCATCACGGGCACACTGTCCACCGAACCTGTGTTCTGTGGACACACCCAGTGTGGGGACCTGTGGACGGTCTCGCACCCGGGTTGCCCGGTAGCGCGGTGTACAAACCGAGCACTACGTCACGAGCTCGTCGTGATGACATCAAAGCAGGAACGGCGGCGTATTGCAAGCGGATTTGACATAACATCTGTCCACGCTGAAATGTCGCCGAGAGAACAGCGTTTAGGAAACTTTGAAAATAAATGCGTTCCTCGGCACATTGGAAAGAAAAGCAGCGTGGAGAGCTAGAAAACTTGTTTCTTTCCATGAAGTTCGACCGCAAATAAATCGGCCGCCAGTAAAATGTAAAGCATTTTCATATTGGGACGAGGAATTTATTTCGTGTGCGCACTTCGGTGCTCCTTTCCTTTTATTGAACTCCATATGCGCTCAACCAGACTTGAAAATTCGACTTTTTGTGACTAATTCTAATTTTTAGATTTAATTTTGGCTATTGACAACCCAACAACAGCAGTAGCAACAAAGAGTAAAGCATTCTCAAATTAACTGGAACGTCAAAATAGTTTTCTTTTCCAAATGGAAGTATTTATACATCGCTTAATAACTCGAAAGACCGACTTCCTATAAACATCGGCATAGATAGCTGATGTATTTATTTATATGATCGTATAAACTGATCTCCCTTAGCTGATGCGAGGTTGGTACAAGTCTTCGTTGTCATTGTTATTGGTGTTGTTGGTCGACGGCTAACGTTTCGGCGACTTTGCTCCTTCCTCAAAGCCTGGACGTATTTTATATTGGAATATTTTTATTATTCGGTGAAAAAAGGTTAAAGCGTTAGTGAGGATCAGGCTTCTAAATAGGCGCCATATTTGAACAGAAAGGCCGGTCCTCACACGTAACATCACGTTAAGTGGCTACCAACACCACATCATATGGGTCCTTCGTTTCGCTTGTCTCTCATGGTGAACGCGTTACTCCCCGGAAAGGAAAATAGCGCGTCGTTCCCCACCGCAAACACCTGCGGTCCGGAGTTTTGCAAATTTCTAGTTATTATAGTAGTTACATTTTGCAACATACCCTGCCGTTAAAAAGAATATGCAGCAAATAAAAAGGTTAAAATTAATAGGTATTTTTTTCCTATCAACATCACGTTGGCTTAATAATCCAAAAAGGTACTGACCATTGATGCCGAGGTTAATTGTTTGTCGTTTAAAAAAGTACAACTTTAATATACAACGACCAATTGACATGTCGTAGGTGCTGAATCCTATCATATACACGATATACAACGGTGATTTTCGGCAGTGTTTCCGGGACTTGCTCTCACTTGGATGTGTACAGCATCATCGACGAGCAATGAGTGTGAAGAAACATCACCAGCAAAGTAATATGTTCTGAAATAATCCTCTAAGATACTAAGAAAGTTTTTCGTATCGTGAAAAATGTCTGAAAAATCAACAATTCTTTCTACTTCTGTTCACCAAACACGAGGTGCTATCTTGTTTCTTTATTCACGAATAAGCTGACGTTTCGGCGAATTTCGCCTTCCTCAGAGCCTGGAAAGGTCAAATTAATAGCAATCTATTCGGCTAAACACCTCCACAACAAAACATGGAGAACGCTATACCAAGATTTCAATCACATTTAATACAGCTCTCCACACTCACCGCTTTCTGTGAGTCTTCCACTGAGTATGTCGCGTGAAGACCAACCGCACAGAATTCTCATGGAAGCGTAATGTGCCCCTCCCATCAGAATAACAGGTTCATATACTGAAGGCGTGCATGTATTCGACATAATCAAGCATCGTTAGAAGTGACTGAATGCGTATCTGGCCTAAACAATGTTTCGCGATGACCTGCATAGTTAGAAGTCGGCATGTGGAACGTCTAATGGCAATTTTATGTCACTCAGAAATTAGTTCCTCGCAGAAAACCTCGGACAATAGCTGTTTGGCTTCTCCATTTTCTCCACAGGTTTCCTAATTTGCATGGGTTTGTTTAAAGTCGTACTTCCACTACTACAGCTCATTCGGTCGAGTCCTATTCGTAACAGCACGACTCTGATGAATCCGAAATCGCCGAAACGTCAGTCGTCGACCAACAACACTAGCAACAACGACAGCGACGACGAAAACCTGTACCGACCGCACATCCGCTCAAGAAAACCACTTTGCAAGATCATATAGGTAAACATATCAAGTCGATGTTTATAGAAAGTCGGTGTTTCGAATCGTTCGGTGGAAGCTCCATTATTTAAAGAACCCTTGAAATTGATTAAGGTTTTTAATTTTAATTCAATTTTTTCGTATTCTCAAGCCTTTTGAGCGCAGTTTGTTCATATATTAGTTGTTTTTCTTGAATTTGAGTGTTGACGTATTCAATAAGTCAGTGCTTTATTCTTCAGCACACACGAGCTTTTCAGTAATCAAATTTAATCAATACTGCCTGAAATTTCGACGAATTTCACCCTCTTTAGAATCTGGAAGGGTCAAACTGACACGTCTTATATTCAATCAAACAGTTTCCTAATCTCAGTATGCAAATTTCCACCGCGTTGTAAACAGCTGCCTTTGAACGCTTACCGTTTTTCAAAAATCTGCTTTCCTTTAACCTCGCCATGACCAGTCAGCATGTATGCACTGTATGTATGTGCATGTGCTCACCGTCTTGTTTCTATGAATCTTCCGAATATTGTTGGACACTTGCCCTATAGTGCCTTCTATAGGTGAGAAATGTGCCTGGTTCAGGTCAATAAAGTAGGTTGAGGTATGGGACGAGGTGACGCGCTGTCGGAAGACGCTCCTCCTTGCCGTTCGTTTGTGATTTATCCAAAGCGCTTTAGCAGTTTTGCACGCAGTTATCTTCGATTTCAGTGCGAGATTTGTAACCTTTGCTTCATAATCTTTTCCATAATATCTTGCGTGCCTTGTGCATGCCTATTGGAGCGTTTCGTTTAAGTTACCCAGCAAATTGTTCTTTTGTACAGATGCAGAGTGATCTACCCGCTTCATCAATGTGTTCTCTCCACACGCTCTGCAATAAATCAGGTACACATTCCGCGCACTTATAGAATCGTCCTCTCTACCCATAAGGCATATATTCTATACATTAATTGGGTAAAAAGAGTGCGTTAAATTGATTATCTTATGTACCATTGGTGAGAACGTTGAAGTGATCGGAGGAAGTACCACTGCAACTGTGATGAATCCAGTAAGTATTGAGCGGCAGCATATTCACTACTTAAATGAACAGACGCAGGCTTTCAAGAAATTAATGTCTGTCGCTTGCATCAAAGTACTCTCTTTTAGAAGACTCAGTCGTACTTAAAGCGGACAACTCTTTGAATTCAGTGTTACAGAGGATTGCTCTTTATGATGTTGATGAACTAAGACGGCCACTGATTTGTCTCGACGAAACCTTTCAAGTTTCTGAACCCTGTTATAGTGTTGAAGTCATCAAATTCAATGTTATTAAAAGATTAAAAGTGTTTGAGAATCTGTATGAACTTCATAAGACACATACGCAGAATTCCTACCTCATCTTTTGTCGTAGCTTCATTTTAGATAGTAGACGACGAAGATTGTCAAGACAGGTATTTATTCACACTTTTTAGACTGTAAACGTCCGATTCGGATCATCGGTTACTGAACGAGATCGATATTCATGACCAAGCTTATATTGGCGAGGATATCGATGCTGTCGGGCTCTTTGACATCCCATACTTTGGAGAAGAATTCTGCTCCTGTGTCACTAACGGCGTTTGAGGGGCAGTTTCTTCTTGACTGAATCGGTCCGATGACGTTATACCTTAGTCCTACTAGTCTACATTATCAGCTCCGTGGAAAAGTTTTAAGTGCTAACGTCCGTGTGCTGCAATTATTGTAGTTCTTCTTCTAAAAGAATTTAGGCATGCCCTAAAGGTCCCAGTGTTTTAGTACCTTCTCGTGCTCATCGCACTCAGCGTTGCCATGTTGAGCGCTGTTTTGGTGTAAGGCGAATGAGATGTGGCATGAGGGTTGGACGAGGTTACAGTCAGCTCGTCAGGCTTTCCTACAGTGGACGGCTAGTTTGTTTGTCGGAGGACATTCCTAACCACCTCTCATATTACCCTCCTCTCACTTTGTTACAGACGTTTTTGCAAATGGACTCACCATATACAGAAGCCTAACGAAACCTTTATTTCCATCCGGCAAAGGGAAAAAGGGAGTCCATTCACTGAATCGTTCTCTGTTTCCGTGCATTACAAGGTCTTTTTTGATCAGCATTTAACCCGTTATCCGTCGCCAGGCTGCGTGTCAGATGGCACGAAAAATAGTCGGGTGTGTTTCCCTTCGAGCGAGAAATCATTGGCTATTACTTGTATTTTCGCTGATCGTCGAGTAGATTTGGAGCGTGCTTATAAAGTTCCCTTTCGTCCTTGTGGCCCATCAGAGCTGTTCAATAGATGATATGCTCAGTCGATCAGGCGAAAATGGATAGCGCTACATTTTCTCTCTGAAACGTTCTTGTCTTAGTGGTTAACTAAGTGCCTCATCGCAACTAGCTCGTAGAGCTTTTCTGTGAGAGTTATGCATTGCATTATGTTAACTTGTGTGGTTGACCTGGGTTAGACCTGTTCATGGTAGGGGGTCGTTGACCTCTTCACTCATGTGATTTCGCAAAGTCGACGCGAAGGTTAGGTGCAATTTATGGGGTCGTATGCATTTCCATAAATGTAAATTCGTATGGATATTAGTGGCTTTTCCGTGCAGAAGCTATATACTGGTTGTTCAGCATGGAAAGGATCCGGGTGGTCATTTATACCACATCCTATTGTACGTTAGTCATTTCTACTACTCCACGATGCGACCTGGTTGAATTAAAAAGCGTTTATCATCCATAAACATTTGCCTTGTGTTCTCATTGTGTACATTGTGAGCACAAGTCACGCAGTGTAAACTTTCTTTCTGTATGGAGTACTGAAGCCTCGCAGAGTTCGGTTCAATTTCTAGTACTTGGACTAGGACCAGCTGCCACTGCATTAACATTCTTGAGTGCAAAGAGTCATAATTTTTCTGTTTTTAGCCTCACAATCATCTCGTTATTTCTAAGAAAATTCCCTAGTGTTGCCTATCCAATGGCACAAATGCCAAATCTCTTCAAGAAAGGTCTCCCTCTAAAATCCCCGCTTTTTCAGAGGTTTTAAGATCCGAGCAATAATTTCTGGTGAACAACTCGTTAGGAGAAAGAGATGACCTGTATGCTTCTTTAAGCGTGAAGTGGGTACGTTAATTAGAGTGTATAACATTTTACACATTATCAACGAACAGCAGTAATGAAAATCCTCACTCCGAGTATGGATATATAAAAGACGAAGTGATGCCTGCTTTTACTGTATATATGGTAATATTTCTTTTTGTTTTCCATTACATTCAAGTACTTCGATTTTTTAGACTTGTAGTCGGGAACTAAAAAAAACTAGTTCGTCTTCGCCCTCTTCCACTTATCGAGAAAAGACATCCTGTAGTAAACGGGCCTAATGATTTTGAGGACCTTGTTCTGTTTTTCGCCGAAGGGCGAGAGTAGTTTGATGACTATTGAGAAGACAGCAAAACTGCGTCCGCTTGGGAGAAATACTGCACGTCTTATTTGATATTGAAACATTAACTTAATGCTGTGCTTTAAATAAAGCCTACAGCTGACTGCGGAAGCAAAATTTTGTTTGAAGACGACGATTTAACTTCTTTCTTCAGTTTGAACTATACAAAAGGTTGGTTCAAAGTTTCGAAAAACGAGAAAATCTCTAAAACAAAGTATATGCACCACACCTTAAAGTACTATTTCGAAATTGCACCAGTATCCTGTGGTTCAGCGATTAGAAAACGTTTCACAACGTCTAATCGAATGCGATCCTATCAGCAATCGCCAGGCAAGGAGCGTACCCGTCCTCTGTATAACTGCTCTCGGAACCGAACTATGGTAATAGAGCCGTTCCAACGACCGATTACCATGCCTATAAGAAAAGAAGTTTCATATGGTATCACAAATTCCACGAAGCTGTTTAGTGCCGCACTGCAGTAGATAATGAAGTCACTCGATTAGGTCGAGAAAGGCATCCTTTTTCATTGAAAATTCCTACCAAATATATCTTTGCGGACAACAACGTCGTCTTATTAAGAAGTATGAACGAAACAGAGACGATGATCAGTGAGTTCAACGAAGAGTGTTACTCGGCTGGACTGAGCATAAATAGGACAAAGACCTGATACTTTAACAACGTCAAGAATTTTGAGCACTACCACGAAACAAGTATGGGCGCGTGTGGAGCAGTGGTCGGAGGTGCCCTGCAACACATACGTGGAATCGATGCTGGCGCCCACGGCCCACCAAGCCCCCATCTCTTCGGGGACGACAAAATGGTACCAGACTTGTCTAAGAGGTTAGCAGAACTGGCTCAACCAATTGCCCATCGAGCGAAAATGTTAGTAACTGTATTCGATCATCTATAAAGCTGATTATTCTTAGCTACAGTTCTGCGTATCGCGGTGTGAAACTTTTGCCACCATGCCCTAATCAATCCATCACCATGAGCGATCATTACAAAACAAAGAGGCCAATGGAGAATGAGCTAGTATTCGCAAGACTGGTGATGGCAGGTCGTCCAAGTAAGCATGTAGGTACCTAGCGTGTTTTAGCGGTTTGGTCAAATTATTTGTCCCGTACATATCGCAGCAGAATATGTACACTATATCAAAACTCCTGCAATCACTGTTCCCACTTTGAGCCGCACAAATGCGGTTGCAAAGTAGCTGGGAACGTAGAGGGTTCGGTCGTAGTTCAGTTACTAATAGTGTTTTCTCTAGATCGATTGTTCGTATCCGTCAGCTTTGTGTCTACGATTAGTGAAAAAGTCAACCAAATCTTATTTTCACCATGCATTTCACTCAGTGGGTTGGTTTTTCCTCTGACCCTTTTCTAAGGGTACTGCTTAGTATTAGAAATGGCTATTCTCTATGCCAAGTTAATTCATTTCTCTTCTTGCTCACCTCCTGAACACACTTTAGCGGCTGTTCAAAAAGTGTTTTTCATGAAGGCGTTCTTAGTGAGTAAAGGAAGAAAAGAGAAATTATCAACCAGTATGTCTTTATTACTCGGTCTTCCGGACTACTCTTTTATTTTGTTGTTTTCGGATAAATAAGTCTGAACGTTCAGTAATGGAAGCCAGTTTTCTTTCGAGTTCTGCGATGGATTTCGAAATAGATGACAATACTCGCTGAAGAATTTAAAGCATAAGCACGCAAACCTCTCAAAGAATTTTAGTTCAAATATAAAAGTTCATAGATGAGCTCTGACTTTTTCATAGTGTTTCAACCAGTTGATACTTGTATAGAGAACAGCGTACTTAAAGCTCCTAGAAGCGCAAATATTCGAAGAAGGAATATTCGAAGAAGGAGGTGCTTCTTGCATTTCTTCAAGTGTTTGACGTTGCCCTTAATAACTCAGTGGAACAACTATTTTTTTTAAAACTACGGTATAGTTAATGATAGCTGGTGAGAGGGCATCACAAGGTTGGGAAATAAAACCCTGGCTGTTTTTTGAAAAAATGTTTTGTTCATAAAAACCGGTCCGTTACTCGTGCCAACTTTGTTAATGAAAGTGCAATTGCGCCCTGCTTAACACATTCGCTAGATGTCGTCCGTTTTTCTCGTGCTTTAAATATTTGCTATTTTATATTTGATTCGTGTACTTCCAATTTTTGGATGTTGTGAGAGCGAAGAAAAAAATCTTGTTCGCCAGCAATGGTGAGCAACCAGATTTTGCAACACAGTTTCACAAGCCATGTGGAGCAGATTCTGATAATTTTATTTCTACCCATTCCATACAATAGTCATGGTCTTCATGGCCATCGGAAATGAAAGAGAAATCAACTGCTGCTAAAAACGCTTTGTCGGGTTATATTCATGTTTGGATGGCAGGTGACGCTATGTGCAGTTCGCTTTTTGATCCAACGGAAACAAAGTAATGTAGTAATCCGCGGCATGTAGCTCGTTTGCAACAACCGGATCTCTTTCCATCACGCTCTTTCACTGTCAACAGTCAAAATCAAAAAATTAACAGCTTTTTTGCAAACTACTAAGTGCAAAATGGAGCATTTCTCGAGTTTAAGGCGTTGAGTATAATATCTGATTGGCATACGAATACTTACCTACTTGATACTTAAACGGCCCGTCCTCACCAGTTGTGCTGGTCCCAGCATAATCATCAGTTCCTTGGAATCCTAGAAACAATCTGACCAAAGTCTGCCTCAAGTAGTCACAACTAGAGGCATTCGCAGCCCTTGTGAATCACAGGGAGATTTGCTACCACGCGACCTTGATTCCAGGACGGAGGTGGATCCTGGTATTGGTATGCTCTTAGCTGGGCTTCCTGATGGAAACGCTGAGCTCCTTCTCAGCTTGGGAGGCCTTGCCAGAAAGACGAACATAACATTTTGGAAAAATACTGACATGTATTGGTTATTTTATTGAAAATACTCATTTATCCAACCTACTTTATAATTATATATAACGAATCTTTCACATCCAGGTTCTTCAAGTGCTGTTTGAACAACATCCTCAAATGTGATTTCGAATCTTCTTAGGCTCTAGAACAGACACGTTACAAATGAAAGCAATAATTTTGCGCAACCTCTAAAATCTCACCTCACTGAGACATCTGTGTTGTAGTTGTGCATAACTAGGAGGACTATTCAAAGTATTGCCGACCACAGGTACTTCCAATTTCAAGCGGCTCTGTTGCAATTCCATTGCTGCACACTACGTACGAATGAGAAACAGCCGATATCTAAACGAATAGTAGATCCTAATTTGATCTAGTTCGACGAAAGCATGATAACTCAACTTTTCGCGGTGATGACTAAACTACCATGAATATAAGGTAAAACAAGATCTTGGCCGAAACACTAAATCTGTTGCCATGAACTACTTGAAAATCCCCGAGTAATTCATATTGGCTGGAGAAAAACTGCGCGTGCGCTCAACTTTAACCTTCAGCAAATAAAAAGAGCTCTCGACGTTGATCAATCCTTGTGGAATGCGTTGTGCATTCAACTTCATTAAGTATCGTTTGGAGGTGAATGAATGCATATCTGGCCTTTGCAATCACTCGTGGTGGCCTGCCGATGTATCAAACCAGTGCTGCTCTCCTCTCAGGCAAGTCTCGTACCAATTTGCCGGCCGCGGAGGGTTGGACGGCTTGGTGCACCATGGGCGCGTGGATCGATTCCACGTGTGTGTCGCAGTGGCGCCTCCAACCACTGCGCCACAAAGACCTCTCTTCAGCAATTGCTACAAATGAATGCATAAGACTTGATCACGCTTCCTGATAGAAACGCCGGACTGCTATTCAACGTGACAAACCGTGCCGAAGCGACGAACCTCTATGCTGTAGATCGCAGTCCAACACCCAGCAACACCTCCTAGCCACGATGAGGCGTTAAACCGCTGGGAGGACAGTCTTACTATGTTCTCAAAATTTTAAACAGTAAGCAGGAAGTCTAGGACGGTATCACCCTACCGAACCTCTCCTTGCCTTATTTAATATCTACTGAAAAGAATTGATGGAAAAAAGCCCTACTGACTAATGAGAATGGTTTATGACTGAGGAGACAAACGTTGGCAGCACTAACACTAAGCCGATGGGCGGCATTGAGGTACAACGAAGATGCAAATTGTAAATAATATACTATGATAACCAAACTGTATATATAATCGGACAATGAGACCAACCTGAAAAGCTATACTGGAAAAACGGTGTTGGAAACGCAATGGAGTGGAACTTCGGGTTTAAGAAGTCTTTCCCAGCCAATTCGTATTCTCTGGTCACTGTAACGAGACACTACTGCGTATGTAATAGGATGGCATGAAGATAATACATAAATATACACGGCATAGGCTGCATAAATCTTCCAGATGCTGGCAGTAATCTGGTTGGATAGCGGACCATAGTAACATGTAGTAAACGGTAGCATAAATATCATGCAAACATCCAGTGAGATACAGCAAGGTATTCTCGGTAATTCCGATACCTCCTATAAGAACCTTTAAAGTCACCTAGTTACCGAAAAATTGTCGCCCATCGTCGAAATACCAACAACCTTGCAATGACGCGAATTTAAGGGTTTCCGCCCACTCTTTGGTTCTGTCCAGTACATGATATAAATAAGAAAGAGGATAAAGAACTCGACTTTGCCCAATACCTTAAGAATACGCCATGTAGTCGAGCCCATTACGGCTTGCGGAGCCGACTGATGTATCAATTCAGTGTTTTCACCCTCTCAGAGAAGTGTGAAACACACAATAGCGAAACGTAAATCAACGGTCCATAACCGTTCATCTGTTATATTTACAAGACGCTTCAAAAAAACTTATGACGATAGTGTATTAATGATAGTGGCTAAGGAAAAGCTCCACTAAGTGAGGCTGCTGCATGCAGAGATGATGACATACTTTAGTCCTGAGCAGTGGACATTTTGAATAATCCTGCTATACCTTTTCATCCGAGCTTCCAGTATGTAGATTACATGGGTAAAAACGTATTAATCAATTATATGAAGCCATTTCTCTTCAGTGGTGTTCGACGAAAAGGTTGGATAGAGTGATATATAGGAATGAAAAATGATAGAAGAATCATGTATAATTCGTTTAGGAAAACAGAAGAACTACCATCGAATGGGACACCACTTCGATAATATTACAAAAGAAAAATTCGATGAGGACAGTACAAAAATATAAAGCGAGTCAGCTGATGCTTTAAGTAAAAACAGTAACACTTAGGGATCCAGCCGAGCTTTCAATGAATTATAAAGCTAATTCGTCGAGATCATGAGGATTTCCTTCTCAGTCTGCTCACCCAAGTATAAAAATGATCTTTAACAAGTTTCATTCGTAGGCCATTAAACGTGTAAAAATGCGAAAGTAGAAAGCGCTGGAGAGACTACAAGCACAGGGAAAACCACAAATATTACAAACAAACTGTTTCTTAAAAACGGGAGTCACTGGAAGACTGGGTGTTGGTGTACTACTTATATCGACTAGCTGCTTAAAGGCCGGCTCTTGAACACTGATGTTTGTAGGCACCTAAACAGAAGTGTTATAGTACCACATGAATTGTTCCCCGTACTGGTCCTACTCCATGCTGCCGAATCGGTGGCTCTTTTGAGGTCAGGGGAAAAGACTCGTTTATTTTGTTGTGCCTAGTCTTTTGAAACCCAAGTATACCTTGCTGAGCTTTGAACGTGGGATGGATAAAGCTACGTGTGGCTTGACAGTCTCTCCCAGAGTGGACATGGAGCTTATTTCTCGACGCGACTCCTAACCGCCTCCTACGTACTTCCCTGTCATTTGATTGCAGACTTTTAGTCAAATTGAAATAGTTATTGAAAAAGCCAGTTTTCAGCAGATGACATTGACGACTGCACCTCTGACGTTGCTGCCCCGAACTCCACCTGCTGAGTAGTACTTATCTTCGTGATGGCATCCATAGACACTTATGACCAGTTGTTTTCGCCACAATTGTTGACCTTTTACATTCATCTACATTACCAGTAGTATTCTTTCTTTGATGAGCTTACACGAGGTTGATAATGATATTTATTTATTTTCGGCTAACGTTTCGACGTCTTCGTCTTCTTCAGAGACGATGACCCGAGTTGATGGTCCATGCTTGTTGTTCGTGTTGTTGTTTGACTCATCAAAGAAAGAATACATATTGATTAGTGATACCGAGGTTCAATGAAAGTCGGTTTCGAAATATTACCACGCTTTGTGCTAGCTGATAAAAACACCGACTTCTGCACGATGTGCGCAATGATGTATGTCCGGAAGAAATACAAGCTGTTACCACCGGACATTATCATTATATCCATCATCAGCATCGTGTATAAAAGGGCATCGCTGAGTAAGGATGCCTCATTCAAGAAGATGGCTCACTGAGGAAGACCTGACTCGACACGAAGGCGATGCTGCAACGTCGAGACGAACAACAAACATGGACCATCAACTCGGATCATCGGCTCTGAGGAAGACGAAGACGTTGAAACGTTAGTCGAAAATAAATAAATATCATTATCAATCTCGTGTAAGCTCATCAAAGAAAGAATACTACTGGTAATGTAGATGAATGTAAAAGGTCAACAATTGTGGCGAAAACCGATGATAGTGATACCGAGGTTCAAGGAAAGTCGGTTTCGAAATATTACCAGTAGCATTTTTCGGAACACAGGCACTTCCGAAGCATTATAGTTCGCTCATTCGTTGTATTCCAATTTTCGCACTACTCTTTGCTATCATTTCACTCACGTTTCTAATAAAACTAATTCAACGTTCCCTGTGCAGGAGAATCCAGATTTTTTTATGTTAAGGTGGTCCGATGCACTATAATATGTTAGTTAGCTCAGTGGAATAGATTTCGTTGCGTCAGCTGTCAGAATTGTAATACCACTTAGCGTGCTATAGATTGCTTGTCGTCGTTCGATTTTGTCCGTCAGTACTTTTCGTAGAGTTACCTGAACGGTTCTCAAAGTAGAGCAACTGAGCCTTTATATAACCATAGTAATACATAGTAATGCTATCACAACAGCAAAAAATTAAATTAGTGCAAACGACGAGAGTAATGGATTCAACAAGTGAAGATAAAATGATCAGTAAGGAGTTACACTAAAAATAAGGAACTTGTTTCTGTCATAAAATGATTTGGTCAAATAAGGAACAAGTGTCACCTAAAATACACCAATGAAGGTGCAACGAGATTATCATGGTAGATAGAATACTTGGGATTCAAATAGCTTTAAGGTATCGGTGATTATGGAAAGAATAGTAAAACACTGGACAGATTGATTCTGCTAATATTTGCTAATATTTATGGAAAGCATAAGTTGGAATCTGCTACGTGAGGTGAGGCGAAGAAGCAAGAGTTTGACAGTATCTGAGGGAATTTAAAGGGTAATTCAAGTTTGTATTCGTTCTAGTGTAGGCATGAATCTAACCGCATTCGCACGAAAGCAGGTATTAACATGAAACAAACAATTGAGCGGCACAACAATTGCTACGTCAAGCGTACATTACAAAATACAAGGACATTACAAAGTTCCGAATATTCGCAACACAAAATAAACAGCAGTTTTTGTATTCAGAGATGGTATTATCCGTACAGTGTTCCGACGCTCGTTGCAGAATCCGTGTGAGAGCACTCTATCACGACTCCTTTAAGGTTAGAGGTAGTTGATTTCCGCGCTGCTACTAACCGTGTGTTGTATTAGAAGTGTCATAAAACTGCCTGTTGGTGGACACGTGAAGGTCGAAATGAAGTTTGCTTAATATGGGCCTAAAAATAAATGTGAAAAACCAATACGTAATTAAATTATTTTAACCGAAGTGAAAAAAAAACAGCGGCCGGCTTATTTCGTCATTTTGGCCGGTTCATTAGAAAAACAGCAAGGAACGGTTAAATAAATCTGGTGATCTCATTTATCATATGGAAGTTCTCATGCTTTCAAGAGCAACACAGAACGAGTTGACCGTGAGAGGATTACTAAAATGTTTCTACTGGTGGAAGGGAAGGGGAGCTACTAATTACACAACTTGTATATGACTCCTTTCACGTAAGGAAAATAACGAATCGTGGGTGCTTAAAATATAGCACTTCTACAGCACATAGGATTTCCAGACAGGAATCGTACCACCATCAATGTGCGTCGCAGTGTTCTACTAGATTACACACGTCCTCTAGGTCATATCTGAACCCAATT